ATTGGACATAAACTAATTTAGAATATACTCCAAAATTTAGTTTTGCTAGGGATTTATTAAGCCATTTGAAAATAAGATGAGTTATTTAGCAAGACTAATTGCATATTGATGTCAGTACTAGTTTGTGATAATAGTTGCATTTTTTAGTTAACAGAGTTAGAGGGGCATGCATTTAGATGTAGTTTCAAACTATTAAAATCTATTGTTTTTAAAAAAAGATTTTACTTTTATTTCAAGTTTAATTTTTTAAAAGATATAATTTTAAGAAAAATGGTTTAGAGCATGGTGAGTTTCATTGTTTTGCATAATATAATCTAATCAATGGCATTCTTGAAATTTTTCTAAAGTTAGATAGAACATATTGGCTATTTTTTTGGCATTTGGCATTTTATTTTTCAATTACAGTTTACATTCAATATTACTTCATATTAGTTTTAGGTTGGCATAAGAGTTTTATTTCAAACTTATTTATTTAAGGTTTAAACAGACTTACAAATGCATATCTTAAAAAGAAATTGTCTTCCCCTACATAAGAGTCTAAAAGTAATTAATTAGTTTATTAATTATTGATTAGCATTAATTAAGTCTGAAGAACTAAAATGTGTGAAATAAAATAGTAGAAACTAGGTAATTTTCTCTAAAATGACTTTAATTGTATGGGGAAATTGAATTTCCTACAAATTATTTTCTGTTAACTCTGCATTCATATATCTCTTGCTTAGATTCTCTAAAAGTATTTCTAATTATTTTTTAGATCAATAGTAATCAGCTATTATACATGTTTATGTGATTTATATAAATACTTTATGTTAAATATTACCTGTACATGTTATAGTACTTTGACTATATATGTACTTGACTTTTACAGTTAATTACAGAAGATGCTTTCTCCTTTTCTATCAGATTTTCTTAATATTTAACCTAATACTTATTCTGTTCAAGGATCCCATCTAAGAGGCTACATTACATTTAGTCAGCATCTCTTCTTAGGCTGTGACTATTTCTCAGACTTTTCCTTGTTTTTGATGACCTGGATAGTTTTGTATAGGAACATATTATTTGCACTCTCTTTTAGCTCTTTTAAATTGCTTTCCAGAAAAAAATAAGCAGTAAAGTTTACCCTTTCCCCATGCTGTAGGTAACTTATTTACCAATGAAGATTTAACCCAAAGGAAAAAGTTTCTCACTTAGGAAGGACAATGATCATCACCTATTACACTTTAGTGCATGTATATCGGTATGAGAGTGTACACCCACATGCTTCAACTTCCAAGAGGTGTAAGAGTAAATGAAGAGAACACGGGGAGTAATTTTATCTGTAGAAAGCATCAAGCACCACTTACTGTCATGAGCAGATGTTATCTGGCATTATTGAGCCTGGAGCGAGAGGTTTATGTTGCTGTATGAGACACACAGATAGTATGAGGTGTCTGGGAAAGCATGCTGGTAAGCATCGGATAGTTTAAAATAAGTCTGGAGTCTTTTCCAGTGGAAGCTTTCTCTGGTTGCTATGACTTAGGCAGGGCCTGGCTGAGGGATGGAGGCAGGAAGAGGAACTAGGTGACCTTCCTAGATTCTTGAGTACTTTTCCCATAGAACCTCTCAAGGTGTCAGACCTCTGCTGAGTAGGATGGTAGCCTGAGTTAGTGACGAAGAATACAGGTCTCCCAGGTAAGTTTGAATTTCAGATAAATAATGAACAATATTTTTAGTATAAGTATGTCCCATGCAATATTTGGGCTTCACTTATCCCCCAAATTTGTTTTTTATCTGAACATGCAATGTCCTGTGTTTTCTCTGTACCAGTTTCTTGGGCCCCCTGGATGTGCAGCAGTGGTGGGGGGAGAACAGAAGAGGTGGAGAAGGGTGTAGCTTCAGCCTCAGACCACCACTCTTGGAGAGTGGTTACCTTAATGTGAACGACAAATGTGACGTCACTTGTTCTCCAAAGCTACTCAGGTCAGCTTTTGAAGACACTAATGGCCTCTTAGCTTTTTGTAACAGCATTCATGGTCTTCCTCTTTTCATTTTTGAACAGACACCCAGTAAGTCTCTATCATATAAACAGTATCCTTTAATACTAACAGATCCAGAGGAAAATAAAACCCATGGGATCAGAAACAGGAGACAGCAAAGGTGTATTTTCCCCACAACCACCTGGTTCCCTGTCTGTCTGCCTTCCACTCCCCACAGGTTCTGAAACTATGGACTAGCTAGGGGTTAGTCTCACAGCTCTCTCCTCCCCCTCTTATCTAATTTTTAATTTTCTCAGATGATGGAGAGAATAAGTACTGCACTATACAAAGATTCTTCATGCATTAGATAATTGAAAACCAAGTATGATCATAGAAAAATTAAATGTAAACAGTATTACATGCTCAGGCATAAGTGAAAATACATAGGAAGAATAATTTAACAAATTAAAGAATTTGAAACAGATTTTAGTATGCTGTTGGCCTCTGAGGTAGAGTCAGCAGAAGTATATGCTTGACATTACAAATCAACTGGGTCAAAATCAGAGAGCATTTAAAAGCCTTCGCAAAACAGAGTTGACACATCATAATTTTTTAATGGCATAAATTCCAATTAGCATCAACTGTTGCATAAATAAGGTTGATTATAATGATTAAAATGTTAATTTCTTAGAGCAATCATAATTTCCTTTAATCCCCTATAGCAATGTTTTGTAAACTTCAAATTATGATCCATTAATAGGTCATGAAATCAATTTAGTGGGATATAATCAGCATTAAAGAGGACAGAAAATATCTACTTTCATTACCTATAGTCAATGGAAACATTATTTCATGTACCTTAATTTCAGTTTTCTAAACACATATGTATAACTATTTGGTTATAATATAAAATATATCATATGATCTGTTATGAACAGTCAGAAAACTATATCACAAAAAAATTCTAATACTGATCAAAGGGAAAGCACAATTTTAAGTCACAAATTAGTGAAAGAGGAAGAAAATGTTTTCAATAGAAGATAAGATGATGGTTAATATGTTTTAACTAATAAATGGGTCACTTTTCCATTTGCTGGGAGTTTGGTTCAAGGTGGCAAATATGGTGTTCCACTTATTACCAGTGGGCATGCCGTAGTGGAATATGTAAGTGAGGTCTCTGGGGTCAGGCTGTCTGGCGTGGGCGCGTTACTAAATTGTTCAATTTCCTTGTCGATAAATTGGGCCTTGTCATAAACTAGTCATCACACAGTTGTGTGGATTAAGTGAATTTGTACATAGAGTGCACCTAACACAGCGTTGGGCACTTAACAATCCTCAACAAGTGTTAGTTACCAGCTTTATTACATTTTCTTATTTTTATGTAAGAATAGCAACTATCAGAGTTACTCGCCTCAAACTTTTAATTTTGTCTGATAAATAGGGAAGGGGACCCAGGGTTTGCTTTGTGGTTCAGCCCATGTAGGTCCCTGAATTCTTCTGCATGTACGTGCTTAGTCCATTGGAACTGAACACTCTAGAGCAGAGATTCTCAATCTGGGACACATGACACGCATTTTAGGGTTGTGAACTTCCTGAAATGTGATCGGAATCTTGAAAAAGTGTGCATATCTAATTTGGGGAGTAGACGGAGAAGGTCAGCTTCTGTGGTCAAAGGGGTCATGTGGTGTACTGAAGAGCTGGGCATACCTGGAAGCCCAGGCTTCCTAATTAGTAATAGTAACCTTGAGCAAGTTACTTAACCTCTTGTAGCTCACTGGCCCCATCTGTAAATGGGAATTAAAAACAGCTTCTACATGATACAGTTGTTGCAACAATGAATGTTTACAGTATTTGTAAAAAGCTTAGTTAGCATAGTGACTGCCACATGATAGGTAGTCAAGAAAATATTAATAGTGGAAGGAGAATAGGTAGATGAGAAACTAGAATACAGTGGTTGCTATTCTGAGTTTTAATTTTGTAATCTATCACTGAATCATTAAGTCATCCATTCATTCCTTTGTTTATTCACCGAAATTGGTTGAACACTTGCCGTGTGGTATGAATTATGTGAGGTGCTGAGAGAGCAGTAATGAACAAGATGCCTTCTCTGCCCTCACGGAGCTTGTCATCTAAGGAGGCTTACAAACAGAGTGCCCAGCCATGTGACAAATGCTGCAGCAGGCAGAGTGTGGGGCTCAGGAGGAAGGTGGGAGACCTTGCTAACCCAGAACTGCATTCAAAAGGTCTGTGGTTTTGCTTCATCTTATAGCTCCGGTTTTCCTTTCAGTCCAAAACAGAGGCAACTTCTTTTTGTTTATTTTCATACTGAACATCACTATCCAGATGTAAACTACCTATTAAGGGACATTAAGGGCAGGATTTGATCTGTAGAAGTTGGAGAAAAATCTTCTCTTGCACATGGCTGCAAGGATGAGGACATGCAGTGAGATCTCTTTGTAGTATTGGGACCAGAAACGACATACACAAACAGCCTCTTTATAAAGGAAAACCATTCACTCCAGGCATTTCCATTTTCACCTTGACTTTGAAGAAACTTAGAGTTAAATTTAATGTTTAATTATAACAAGTACAGTACTCTACTTTTTTGGTTTCTTTCTCTATTGCTCTAAATGGTTTTGATTTTCCATTTTAACATATTATGATATCTCAATGTCTAGCTATCTATTATCTAGGCTATATTAAGTGATTTTTGAAAGTAGATAGGGCAATAATTATTAAATAACCTCAGGAACTTAGTGTCTTACATATTACATTAGTCTTTTACTTTGTATATTTTTATGATTTAGTGGACATGACTAAATTGTAGTATATTTAAGTTTTATGAAATTGAATCATTCTCTCACAGCTCCATTATAGAAGAATTGAATAGCCAGAGCATGTCTCACAGGAGAGGTCCTTATGTTATCCACAATTGGCCATGTAATGGTATCATTTCAAATTATATCCACTGTTAGGAGACACAAGGTTGCTGTGTTAATCCACTTAAGTTACTTTTGCATTTTCTGGACACACAAACTCTCTTACCTTTGAGCAAAGCTGTCAGGATAGCTAAATCTATGTCCTGGTGTCCTTCTGATCCCATCCGAAACACCGTAATCTGTAATTTGAGACATGACCATTAGCAATGCACTTTTCCCCCCAAGAGAAATTAAATCAATGAGACCATATCTGAACACAGATGGTTTTAATATCTATAAGGTAGATTCTTAACCACAGGAAAAGCATACGTAGCAAGAATTCAATTAGATGGCCCTGCAGTTCATTAAGAGGGAAATGCCTCAGTAGTCTCCTGACAGAAACCATCTTGGGTAATTGCACTGATTATGGTTTCAATGAGGAGAAACCACAAAGCAAGGAAAATGTCCTCTTCTAACATTTAAGTTTTTAAATGAAAACTTGCTGGATTTACAGACATGTGTAAACCACAATGTAAACTATGAGATGATAAACTCAGTGTTTGAAAATAGCTAGTTAGTAGTATGCCCTTCAGTAAATGGCTCCCTTAGGTATATATGTGTGTTTGCGCAATTTAGACATCCCTACACTTACTCCTAGGCAATAGTTACTCAAGGTTTTCAATGCTGCGATGCTTCTAGATCCTCCAGTCCTCTCGGTAACCTTGAAACCTCTTGAGAATAATTTATCAGTACATTCAGGGGAGAAAAGTATTCTCTGGGGAATAATTAATACAAGTTGGATTAATACAAAATCCCAAAATAGTGCTTAGGAACAATAAAGATTTTTTTTCTAAGTCAAAGGGAAGCTGTTTAAAGAAGCCAAAAGATTTTTAAAAATTTCCACATTGAATTGCTATTGTATTCAACTACCTTAGGCTTTGAGTCTCCCTGTCTATAAATGGGGATATAATAGTACTTGCCTATTTCCAACTACACAGAAAGTAAACTTTATAGAATTTGCTAATATATAATTCTAAGCCTTGCTACTGTGATGAACAGCATTGATACAGAACCACAGACTGTTAAACTATCAGTTGTCTCAGAAGTTTTCTGGTCCACTACTCGGATACAGAGACCCAGTGCTTATGGGCAACAACTAGTTAGGACAGCTGTGACTGGAACCCAATAGATCTCACCTTTTGTCTTGTGCCTTAAACATTGGGCAGAAGTGAGGAGAAGGAACAAGAACATATGTGCTCTTGTGGGATGCCTAATTCTTTTGTATCAGTTTATGTTCAGGGATGAGTATAAGGCAGAGATTGCAAGAGGAAATGCCTTCAAAGGCATTTGAACTAAAAAATGTAAGAAGTATAAGAACCAGATGAAATTCATCTGTGTACTGTGTTTGGCTCATGGGTCATAGTGGTGGCCCCCGGGTAAGGATCATCAGGTGGAGCTGTGCCCCTACTCCATCAGATTTCCACAGAGATCTGCTTCTGCACAACCACAAGTTTGGCCAAAGTACCACCAGGACATTGCCCCAAATAGCTCTTGATGCCCTCACAGGATCCACTTGGTAGATGAGAGGCAGCTTTTATCTACTCTGTACTCATGGGAAGAAAATTTGGGTTCACTGGATTAAGAACCAGGGGGCAGAAGTGGGATTTTGGCTCTTTAACTCTCTAAGCCAGGGCTGGCTGTAGTCTGAACGACACCATTGTACAGCAGGCTGAAGCATCAGGATAACATCTGAGCTCACCGTTTTAGAAAAATTCAGAAATTAGGCATCAAAAGAATTCCTCAAACATAGGACCTAATTCTTCTGCAGGTGAGTAAATTTTCTTTGCCTAATTAGAGGCTACATTTCAGAAGCAAATTCTCCTGAGGTAGCAAATACATAAATCAAATTTACCCTACTATATGAGATTATCAGGCTTTCCTGGAGACAGATTTGAGGAGGGGGGTAAGAAGGTGCATAGTGCAGGCTTTCTGAAGGATTTTAGGGTGGGAAAGTAGAGACCCAGGTATATGTGCTGTTGTCTGTCGAAGACCCTGAAATGGAATTGCACGCCAGGACTTTGCAGTTCTTTTGGACAGCTAATGGGAGGAAGTGGCTGCCCCTGCTCCACGACACCCATCCCTGTGAGCTCATATGAAGAACCCAAGGACTCTAGAAAGAGGGAAAAGAAGCACCAGAAATAGGCTGGAGTGGAGGATCCAAAGATAAAATTTATTTAATAATTTTGCTTTGAACTGACCTGAGATATTACATGTTCATCACTACTCTAAAGCTTTTTAATTTAAAATGTAAAGATTTAAATTTCAAATTAAAAAACAATCAAACAAGAGTTTTCCCCTACCACTCCCCAGTGTTGGTAGAGATGCAGAAAATCAGGTGGGAATGTGAATCAAAATAGTAGTTTTAAAGTATGATAGGTCAATACAAAATTCCTTGGTTTTGATTTGTTATTCTTTAATAGCCGTGAATTTATTTGCTGATATTTTATTTGGGATCTTTGCAGCTCTGTTTGTGAGTTTGCTACATGTCACAAACTTGACTGGCTTTGGTACCAGAGTTGCACCAATTTTCACCATGAATTGGGAAGCTTCATTTAGTTATGTTCCAGAACAGTTTACATAACAAAGTATTTGGCTTCTGGCAGAGTTAGTAGGATGGTTATAAACTATCTAGCATTGAAGCATTTTTAGGGATAGATAGGTGATCATTTTTATAAATATTTCAAGTTACTGATCAATTTAGATTTTTTTGTCTCTCCTTGACTCAATTTCATATATTTTCCTAGAGAAGCAGACATTTTATGCAGATTTTCAAATTTACTGATTACAGTTGTACTTAGAATTGTCTTATTTAAATAATCTCTTCTACATCTAGAATTATATGGCAATTTTTTATTCCTCTTTATTGTTTAAAAAATTTTTTATCCTCACTGAATACATTTTTTCAGTGCTTTTAGAGAGAAAGGAAGGGAGAGCGGGAAACAATGTGAGACAGAAACACTGCTCAGTTACCTTCTGTCTGAGCCTGGACCAGGGATGGTGTGCTCCCAGACAGGGGATGAAACCCACATCCTAGGCATGTGCCCTAAGTGGGAGTTGAACCTACAACTTTTTGGTTATATGATGATGCTCCAACCAACTGAACCACAAAGGCCAGGGCCATTCCTCTTTATTTTTCACTTGATCAAAATCATGGTAATTTCAAAAAATCAGGTTTTCATTTTATTGCTCAATATTATATTTACAATTTAAATATTATTCTCTGTTTTTTATTATTATCCATTCATTTCTTCCAATTTGCTGCCTTAGCTATACTTTACTTAGAAATTTGAGTTGACTTTTTAGCCAATTTATTTTTATGCTTTGTAAATACATATATTTTTTGTTTTTTTCTTGTTTTCTAACACATGCATTTAAGATTCTATATCTCACATGCTTTTTTATATGCATTATGCCATTTTCATTCACTTTAGATATATGCAATTTATTTTCTCTTAAAATATTAGAATGTGTATGTATATTTTTAACATTCTGCAAATGTGCTGTTTTCTTTGAAGAAAATATACAGTCTCAATATTTATAGATTATACTTACTAACTTTTTATTTAAATACTCTACGCATTTCCCTACTTCTTATTTCTAATAGGTATGTTAAAATCTCCTATTAAGATTATACATTTCACTACTATACCCTGAAAGTAAACAGTCTGCTTTGTATGTTTTGAAGCTTTTAAAGAGTGTATAAAAATTCATGGCAATCTCTTCTTGGTGGATGGTACTTTTTACCAGCATATAATATCTCCCTTTCCTATTTAATGCTGTCGCTTTGTATTATATCTTATTTTACATTATCATTGTAATTGTCACACAGCCTTTTATGGGGGATTAGGATTTGTCTGGTACATTATTCCATTGGGTATTTGTCACTTTTCTGTTGTCATTTTGTTTCGGGTTTCTACCTTGGAAACAGCAATGCTAGATTAAAAAAAACAAACCTAAATCAGAATATCTATCTCTTAAAGGCAGAAAAGAATCTAGTTACATTTAATATGATTATTGTTTTTTTGCCTTATTCTTCTGTATTATTTTATGTTTTCTATTTTTATATATTTTTTATCATTTCCCTTCTATACCTTCCTTTTCTTTTAAAAATATTGTATTTGCATAGATAAAATCCCAATAGTATAATGAGACATATGGTAAAATTACGTGCTTCACTTCTGTCTTCAATTTTGTAGCGCCCTCCACAAAGTCACCATCAGACACATGAGGCTGAATGAATCATGGACTTACCACTTCTAAAGTCCAGCAAGTCTTGTAGTTGAACAAGATGAGGGTATTGAAACAAATATTGGGAAAATTAAACTGACTCCCTTTCAAGGTCTATGAAATAGCTTAATTTATGATTTATGTTTATGTCACAGTGAGCAATGAGTTTGTGAAAAGAGACATGGAGATTGAGGTGAACTTTTGAAAATGAAAATAACCATTACATCAAACTGAAAAACATCTAGAAGCCATACTTTGGCTCATTCTTTCAACAATAGAAGGGGATATTCCACAACCATTTACTGGTATGTGAAATGTAAGAGATGATATCTCAGTTTGACAAATGGTTTGTAACACATCTGAAAACTTTAGAGAAAGAGCATGGTTACACAATAGATAATCAGCAAAGTTCTATTTTTTTTTTATAAATTTATGAAAGTTCCCCAAAATGTTAACCAAAGGTTTAAAGACATTATACAAGGTGGGGCAAAAGTAGGTTTATACTTGTGAGTATGTAAAACAGAGAGTTTATTCTTAGATTACTATTTATTAATTACTGTATTATTTTCCATACAAACAATTGTAAACCTACTTTTGCCCCACCCTGTATGTGCTATATTTGGAACTTTTTCTTAAAAGAAACATCTCTAAAATGTTTCCTATTTACTCATTCAATTTCTTCAAATTTTTTTTATTTTTAATATATTTGATTGATTATGCTATTATAGTTGTCCCAGTTTTTTCTCTCCTTTATTCCCCTCTGCCCTGCAACCCCATCCCATCAGCATTACCCACCCCTCCCTTAGTTCATGTCCATGGGTCATACATCCATGTTCTTTGGCTTCTCCATTTCCTACACTATTCTCCCTGTCTATTTTGTATCTACCATTTATATCTATTTTTTTAAAATTGT